TCCTTTTATTTTTATTTTTTGTGCCTTTTTGTTTCTCCTCGCAATGCTCCTTGCTTGCGGAGCGGCCTACCAAAAAATAGACCGCTACTTATTGTTTGGGCTAAATTTATTGAATAATCCTATTTGATAACCTCATATAATTCGTAAAAAGCCCGGATAATCTACATCCGTCGGATATTATCGATACCGTATCCGCTACCATATCCGTCGAATATCCCGTTGACCAAAATCCATATCCGGGGGATTCATGTGGCCGCAGTTACATGTCCATGGATTGCATGTAATTATAGTTGCACGTCAGTCGGGCGGGCATAAATGTGTTCACATGTTTCTCATAGGTGCTCATAAGGGCAATGACGGGCATGCATCTGGTGTGCAACTGTAGTGTCACGTGGGCGACGAATATATATATGCAACTCCAGTTACACAAGTAGCACGCAAAAAAGAAAAAACATAGTAATCAAACTGATTAAACAATAACAAATCAAAAATAGGAGAAAGAAAAATATTAAATATTAAAAATCGCTCTGCGTAGAATATGACTCAGATTTAGCAAAACCATTTTTTTAATACGAGTTCATTTTCATTTAAGAATGTTGCTCATGTGTATTGCTACCTCCGTTTCAAAATTCTTGTTTTAGATTTGTCTAGATACATCCATGTCTAGATAACTTTTTATACAATAATAAGTAGGTAATTACTCTAGTTAATCTGTGCATAGATGAACGGCTGGGCTGGTTAGTTCTAATTTCTGACCCATAGGCCCAATACCAATGGGTACGCTGGGTAAGAAGGCACGGCAGAGTGGGAACTCCTATGCGCCGCTTATTGCGGCAAGTAGTCACAGTTTCGCATAGGAGATGACTCGCCTGGGCCGGCCCACTAGCTAACCTCCGCAGAATGAAAAATCGGAAAAATAAAAGCGCGCTACCATATCCGTCGAATATCCCGTTGACCAAAATCCATATCCGGGGGATTCATGTGGCCGCAGTTACATGTCCATGGATTGCACGTAATTATAGTTGCACGTCAGTCGGGCGGGCATAAATGTGTTCACATGTTTCTCATAGGTGCTCATAAGGGCAATGACGGACATGCATCTGGTGTGCAACTGTAGTGTCACGTGGACGACGAATATATATATGCAACTCCAGTTACACAAGTAGCACGCAAAAAAGAAAAAAAAACATAGTAATCAAACTGATTAAACAATAACAAATCAAAAATAGGAGAAAGAAAAATATTAAATATTAAAAATCGCTCCGCGTAGAATATGACTCAGATTTAGCATAGGAGATGACTCGCCTGGGCCGGCCCACTAGCTAACCTCCGCAGAATGAAAAATCGGAAAAATAAAAGCGCGCTAGCTAGGAATCGAACCCGCGACCTGCTGTAGATAAGCACCACGCGCTAGCCACTGCGACACGCGAGTTAATATGACAAGTTTGCAGCGCCAGCATTAAAGAACCTGAGTGAGTCCATTTAAAATTATTGGACATTTTCTGAAATTGTAAAGTACATTTTAAAATTCCAGAACATTTTCTGAAACATGAAACATTTTTTCAAATTTTGAACACGAGAACATTTGTTAATATTGAGAACAAATATTTGAAAATTTCAAACAAAAGAAACATGAAAAATAACAACAAAAAAGTACAAACATTTTTTTGAATCTTGAGAACAAATTTTGAAATGGAGAACAAATTTGGAAGCGCGAACAATTTTTGAAAGCACGAACATTTTTTGAATCTTGAGAACAAATTTTGAAACAAACAACAAATTTGGACAATTTCTTAAAGCATGAACATTTTTTGAATCTTGAGAACATATTTATGAATGGAAAGAACTTTTTTGAACAAAAATTTAAAATCCCGAACATTTTTTGATTTTAGAGAACAAAATTTTCAAATTGAGAACAAAATTTCAACGTAAATATTTTCTAAAAGTACGAACATTTTTTGAATCTTGAGAACAAATTTTGAAACGAAGAACAAATTTGGACAATTTCTTAAAGCATGAACATTTTTTGAATCTTGAGAACAAATTTATGAATGAAAAGAACATTTTTTGAGCAAACTTGTTCACGAACATTTTTGAAAAAGCGCGAACATTTTTTTGAAAGAGAAAACATAAACTTGAAAGACAAAAAAGAAAAAAAGAAAAGTAAAATAAACAGAAATAGAAAAAGAAAGGAAAATAAAAAACCGGTTCAGGAACCTTCTAGAAGGTTCCCAAAACCGAAAAAAACCCAGCTGGGAACCTCTAGAAGGTTCCCAAAACCGGGAGCGCTGGACGGTTAAACGGGCCGGCCCGTTGCGTCGCTGCTCGGTCGCTCGCCTGTGCGAAGCGCCGGCAGTTTGACGCAACGAGCGGCATATAGGATTTTCCCAGCAGAGTACCGTGCCGCTGGGCACGGTAGAGGATCCTCGTCCACGGTGCGAAAGCAAGACCTTGGAGGCTTTCAGGCTTTGGATATAATTAAAAAAAAAGTTGAGACAGGATATAATAATATATGAGATGGCTGGATGTTAGTGGACTGCAGATGGGTTGGCAACCGAAGCATACTAGCAACTGTGTAGAGATCCTGGGCGGGCCATATATAGTCCAGTTGGGCCCCAACGAAGCTCTGGCTGTTTGGTGGACCCACCAACCCAACCTATAGACGACACCGCATGAAGTATGCATACACCTTAGTCCTATTGTCTAGTGTGTTGCTTTCGTCATAGTTTGAAAACCATACCGGTAATCGAACCGGCAAGGCTATTTGATTTGGGTTTTTACCGGTGGGACCACTGGTTCACCGATTCACGGCGCCATGCAAGGGTGGTTGCAAAGGGGGCGCCAGCGCCCTATGAGTTTGTCTATGTGGACAAAATGAAGAGAGAAAGCTCTCAATCGGCTGGAACCCTATCAAAGAGGACTTTTTTTTCCTTCACCAACTCTACCCTCAACGAGTCAATCGAGGTCATCGGTAAAACCAGGGTCATCGGAACGGCCGTAAGTTTCCGGCCGTGGAGCCGGACAACTCACAGCCTCGATACAACGTTTTCATCTCTGCTCAGACATGTTCAACAACTGGTCAGAAGTATAAGAACCCTGCTCAAACCAGCCGAGCGGTCGGATATGGTAACTTACTGCATCAACGGGCTTGAAATAGGAGAAGTCATCGAACATTTGTTGTTGGGCAAAGTCCTCTTTTCCCCCTTTAAATCACCTCCAGCAGCCACCAGGGCCACTTGGTTCTCAAAGCCTTCTCTTATGGCTCGTATTGCCACAATGGATGGATGCGCTGCTGAAGCGGTTGGACTGCTCGGCCTATGGCCACAGCCATCACATTGACAATTGTGAGCTTGTGGTGGCGGAGGCAAGCAATTTGAGCGGCTACCCAAGTAACTTCATCATCATCCTCTTAAGAGTGGCTTGTCGCTCGCCAGTTGTACCGCTTTTTCAGCAGTGCATGGGAAAAGGGCAGAAGACCTTGTCGAACGGGGTCTTCGAGCAACATGTCGGCAATATAGAACCATTAGGCCGCCCACGTCTAGACGTCCTCCTTTTGGGTACCAGGGAGGTAACCTGCACCGGCAATCCGACGCACCTTGTCTCCTCCCACTACAAAGATAGAGCCATCGAGGGAACAAGGTGCTAGGCAAAAAAATAAAAAAATAAAAATCACCATAATCCGAATTGAGCCTCGCAACCAAGAAAGGCTTCACAAAGGGCAATGAAACCCGCTATGTGAAAAATCTTAAATGTGTATAGAAAAATGTTGATCATGTATTAAAAAATTTTAATCTTTTATTTGAAAACTCTTAATCAAGCATTTAAAAATTGTATAGAAAAAATGCTGACCATGTATTAAAAAAATGTTACTCTTGTATTTGAAAAATGTTTATCAAACATTTAAAACATGTTGAAATATGTACAGAAAAACTGTTGGCCATGTATTAAAAATTGATAAATTTATATTCAAAAATGTTATTAGAAAAATGTTTTTGACATATATAAAAAATGTAGGGTGAAAATCAAAAGAAACATAAAACAAAAAATACAAAAAGTAAAGAAAACAAAGAAAAGCAGAAGAAAAAAAGAAAACCAAACAAAAAACAAAGAAACGGAAAAAAGAAAACAAAAAATCGATGAGAAACGAGAAAGGAAGAAACAAAACTAAGAAAAAAGAAAAGAAAAGAAAAACAATGCAAACCGAGAAAGAAAATAAAGAAATGAAAGAATAACAACAAAAAAGAAAAAGAAAAAGAATAAAGAAAATAAAATGAAAACCGGTGAGAAAAACCTGAATAAACAGAGAAGAAAACAGTGAAAACCCGACTCATTCCGACTTAAGTAGTCCCGCCCTTGTAGTAAATCTCCAACCAGAGTTCCTATCAACGTGGAGATTGGTTCAATTCCTCACCGCCCCCCTTTTTCTACTGTCCCATAGTCTGCTGGTTGCTTCGTTTCTCAGCAATTTTTTTATGACCCATGCATCACTTCAGATAGCTGTCGTGGATACCTTCTTTGGCACATTCGTGATAAACATATAAACAGCGAAGCGCATGTTCTTCAGCACAGCACAGGGGAGAAGGTGAATTTAAACCAACTTGTTGATCCTTTGTTTGGGCCGCTCCAGCATGTAGAGGAAGGAATATTTTGCGTCTCTGCTACAAAACATATCGCCGTCTGCTGTTCTTGCTGCAGCTCTAAATGGCTGCCGCACAGAAACCAGACCTCCAGCAGCTGGAAATCAACGGGAAACACCGTTTCCCGTCAGGGGATGATTAACTTCGAAATTAATTGAACTTTATCAAAGCTGTTGCAGTTGTAACAAGAAATTGAGTCAAACCAAAGCCTTATACATGCTCCATGTGTATGAGTTATAAAATGAGTTTCAAGTGGATCGTACAATAATATCCAGCGGGGCAAGTGAGAGAACTCAGCTGGTTATTCTTACAAGAAAATAGCATATGGGTACTTCAGACTATCCTTTCATATTACAAGGCGTGTTACATAATAGCAGTGGAAGGTTGTCCCAGCTCGTAGCAAGTGATGGAGTCCTGAATCCGTGTTGCCATGGAGGGGTCTCTTCTTGCTGGGATCATCCTGTTGATGCCAAGCTTCATCTCAACTGTAGTCCGTAGCTTGCCGAGTACCTTGTCGGTGAACTGAAAGTAAGCCTTCCTCGCGACCGCGCTACATATGAAGGTTGTGAAAACAGTAGAGATTCCGAATGCAAATCCGAGCAGGGTAAACAGACAAGTCAGTGTGTCGAATCTGAGTAGAAGTTTAAGATGCCGGTATTTGTTACTCTCGGGTACACAAATTCTGTTAAGTGGAAACCCGCAGAGATTTTTGTTTCCCAAGAACCAATCAGACCTCAAAGTTGACAATACTGGTCCTGACGGTATCTCTCCTGAGAGATCATTGTAGGAAAAATCCATGATGGACACAAAAGCTAGTGACATCAAGCTGTGAGGAACTGGACCTAATAGACCATTCCATGAAAGATCGAGTGACTCCATTATGGTCATATTCCCCAGTTCACTAGGAATACTTCCTTCAATATGGTTCCTTGATAGATTCAGAAAACGTATTCCAGATAGAAATCCTATTCCACTTGGAATCTCACCAGTTAATAGGTTTCCTGAGAGATCAATGCCAGTAAGAACGCACAATATTCCCTCAAAATGAAGTCTTCGACCTTTCCACGTTGCCTCCACGGAATCCAAGTACATGGAAAAGTAAGCATCCCCAATACCATAAACCTTGAACTGAAGGACAGGCAATTTGTTTTGATTGGCCAAACACAAAGCTTCTTGATTGACCAAGTAAAAAGCTGTTAACTTTCCCAGGAAACGTGGTATGGGGCCAGAGAGTTTGTTGTTAGAAAGATCCAAGTACTGCAGAGCAGGAAGTTGGGACAATTCTTCAGGTATTTCACCAGAAAACTGGTTGAACCCTAAACTCACAAGTATTAAAGATTTCAGACTGTCACCTATCCATCTTGGTATGTTTCCTGACAAATTATTTTCTGCGAGATCAAGGAACACCAACGTTTGACATGACTGTAATGAGGTGGGCAATATTCCAGATAAGTTGTTTTTGCTGAGATGCAGTGACATAAGGGAACTTAGATAACCTATGGTGGATGGTATTTCTCCCCACAAGTTATTGCTTGAAAAGTCTATGACATACAGTTTCGATTCCTGGTGCCAACAATTTGGTAGCTCTCCGTAAAGATTATTTTTCGATAGGTCAATCAGTTCCATTGATTTCATTTTGCAAAATTCTGCTGGGATTACTCCACTAATGAAATTTTCTGACAGGGATAGGTAATGCAATTCTTTGTCTTGAAAGCTTTGTGGCAATGATCCTGATAAGTTGTTGGCAGATAGATCCAACACCTGGACACTAAACGGCAAATCTGGAATGTTTCCCTCAAGTTTATTACTCCTCATGTTCAGAGTTTTCAGCATTTTCGATTGCTCCAAGCTTGCAGGCAACTTGCCAGTTATTTTGTTTGTTGAGACATCTAAGCTAGTCATTGAGGAAGAGAAGTTCCAGATCCAGTCAGGTAACGCACCCCTGATGCCTGTGTTGCCTAGATCAATCGTCTCGATTCTAGTTTGTGACTGCAGCCAAGATGGAAACTCTGGTCCTACAGGGCAATGATGCAGTCCAAGATTTATGAGCTGAAAAGGTGGCACCCAGCTTTGTTTGACTACAATCCTGAACCAATTTGATGCTAAATCTAAAGTATCCAATCTTGATAAATTGGCAAAGTGTATTTCCGATAGTGTGCCTTTAAGTTTATTGAAGGAAATATCCAATTTTATCAAGCTTGATAGGTTACCAATACTGTGTGGCACAACTCCAGACAGTGAGTTCCCACTGAGATCAAGGACTCTTAAACCTGACATGCCCTTGAGCCAATCAGATAGGCTTCCGGTTAAGTTATTACCAGCAAGTTCAAGGATCTGCAATCGCTTCATACAGGGAAATAGACTCTTGGCTGCTTCTGCAATATCTCCTGACAAGAGGTTCCCGGACAAACTGATTTGAACCAAGTTGCACAACCTACTTGCTGATGTTGGTATTGCTCCAGTCAACTTGTTGTCCCCAAGCCCTATGAACGTAAGTGAAGTCAGTTTGCCAAGGTCATCAGGAATCATGCCTGAAAGCCCACAGCTTGTCATGTCCAACTCTGAGAGGGCAGATAGCTCGCCAATCCAATTCGGCAAGGAAGAATTCAGATCGTTACTCTTCAGATTAAGTAGCTTAAGGGAAGTGAAGTTGACCTGAAAAAGAGAAGTGAGGTCGGTGGCAGGAAGACTAGCATCATTCAGGCGAAGCACTTGGAGTGACGGGAGCATGTTCACTGCTTGCAGCCAATCCACGGAAGCAGCGAGATAGGACCAACTGAGGTCCAGATACCTCAGGGAATTCAGCTTGGAAACCCAATGAAAATTATCCACAATGATCCCAGGTCCTCCGAATGAACCCAGATCAAGGTAGCTGAGTCTGGACAAATTACCAAGTTGAGGAGGAGCCGTTCCGCCAAAACCGGCATGCGACAGATCAAGATACCTCAACATCTTGAAAGAGCCTATGAATTCCGGGATGGGCACGGCGCCAAAGTCACCATGGCTAAGGTTGAGGTGGACCAATCTGGTCAAGCCGGCCAAAGATGGACTGATCTCGCCTTTGAGAGAGTAACCACCAAGGTCCAGCCTGACGACATGGCCGTTCTTCTTGCTGCAGCTCACACCGCCCCAGCTGCAGCAGTTTTCTCCTTGCCATGTGTGTAACTTCCCACCAGGATCAATGATGCTGGCGTTGAATGAAGCCAGCGCATTCCTCTCCACGGCAATGCACGCAGCTGTGCCCCTGGTGTTGTTTATGATCACAAGGTAGCAAAGGGCCAGCGTTGTGAGCAATCCAAGCATTGTATGACCTCGCATGGTAAATTAAGCTAGCTGGGGAACACAGAAGCTAGGTACTCATCTCAAGCATCTTATGACCTGACTTCACTGCTAGTCTGGTCTCCCTGCATGTCCTTATCTCAAGTCTAGTCTCCTGTACTAATTGCAGTTTGGGCTGACGAGATCAAGACTTGTCTTCTCTCCTAGTCTGGTCTCCTCCCATGGCTGTGGACCAAACTGTGAAGCCGACGCTGGTCAGGGAATAAGAAGGTAGGTCCTAGTATTGCAGATCAAGACTTGCCTTCTCCCTGCATGTACATTTATCAAGCCTTTCCCTCTCAGTGGTAATAAACTAATAATGCAGTTTGGACTTTGGAGTGACGCCAGACATCTTTTGAATTCAATTATTCAAAGAACAAGAATCGGTCAAACTGATGGTGCTGAGGAGATCCCACAACACTGAAAATTCTACCACAAGTCAGGAGGCCATACATCGCTTTCCGAAATCGAACATCTGCTTTGCCGTCAGTCTCCTTTCAGCCTGCTCCCATGCCACCTGCAAACACACCCCTAAATATGATCAGTCTCCTTCTCCACCTTCTGCAAGTAGGCACAAATGGGATAATAACAAATTATGAGTAGTAAACTAGCTGGGAGTGTGCAGCTTGGTTCGATCCAATTCCCTCTCTTCATCCTAATTTGGTTATATAATGTCAGTGTGGTTGTGTGTGTACATGATATGAAGATGCAGTACTGAAGGACCAATCTGCAATCAACAACGCTGCGGTAGTGGTATGAAGTTCAGGGTGTGAGGGGGAGGGGGATTCGGACCTCCTGGAGCTCGCGCTTCTCGGCCCTCGGACTCGTCGGCGTCTCTCTGCAGCTTCTAGGCGGTCCGCTCCGCGACGTATCCACCTACCTCACCCTCCGACGGCTCCTCCCACCCGCCCCCGCCACCGCCGGAGGCTGACGCGGCGAACCTGGCCGCGCGCGACCACGGCCGCAGGAGATGCGGCAGCCGTGGTGGGGCCTCAGAGCCGAGCCGCAGAGGTGCAGGCGCGGGCGTCAGACGGCGATGCGGGGCCGCGGCGGCGTCGCCGAGCAGGAGACCGGCGGCCATCGCCGGAGGAGATGGAGGCAAAAAAGGATCACTGGTGGGACCGGACGATGGGATATTTCCCGAAGGAGGAGAAAGAAAGGATGGGTGCTGTCTACATGAATGAACAGTAAAATCAAAATAGATTGCAAAAAAATCGAAAAAAATTCCAAAACTATTTATGAGCAAATGACAATCAAGGAGTTCGCCCAAAAAAAAGCCAAAATCGGCTATGAACAGTGCATTTTTTCAAACTTTCTCACATGTCCGAAATTTGTCTTTTTTCTACAAGCTCCTTGAATGTGTCCAAACTTCACCAAATTTTACATGGGCGTGACGCATTCGTCCATCTTGCACCAAAAAAAGTATTAAGATTTTCTTTGATTTTTTTTCTTTTGTTTTGAAAAGATTTTACTATTCAAACCCGGGAGCATCTACGAAGACTCCTCCAATGAAGAAATCAATGACAAGGCATAAACACAACAAGCAAATCACAAATAGTATGGGCCTTTTTTATTTATCTGCATCTGTATATCATCTACCAATGTAATGTATCCCACCAGAGCCTTTCTTCTTCATTTACAACCATCTACAATGTCGTGTGATCCTTAATTGGCAATCGTGTGATCCTTAATCTACAATCTCATTATCTCTACTTCTAATCTCTACTTCTAATGGAGCAGTTGGTAGCCTGATACTTCGGTTTTATTTCCGTCCGATTTTATTTCCTCCCACCACCACCACCCCCGCTATACCTGGCCATGGGCCGGGCCTTGAAAAGCCCATGGCAGAAAACTAAGGCCCAAGCGCTCCCAAGCCCTACCATCGGGCCTACTTTTCAAGCCCAAGCCCGGCCCATCTGGTAAAAAGCCCTAAAAAGCCCTTAGGGCTTAGGGCCGTGGGCGGGGCTTCTTCCTTAAAATGGAAATATGCCAAGCCTTAATTGAGATAACTATTTAAAGCAAAAAAACCTTAATAGGGTGTTGAAAATTTAATATATTATGGTAATACTTTGGTTAAATCACAATCATAGCTAATATATTACGGTAAATCACATAGGGTGTTGAAAATTTGTTTATTTTACATTTTGGCGTGTAATACTTTTAAAATATTTAAAGCAAAAAAACCCTTAATTGAGATAACTATTAAAACAACATCACATGCCTTACCAGATTAATTTGAGTCGGTTCCTTTAATAATTTATATGTTTTTTATGTTTATCCTTAGATATCTTGGCAGTAATCTCGAGTTTGTGGTATATGAAATATCTGGAGAACTGTTTTCTAGTTTAATGATTAGATATATGCAAATATAAAAAATCTAGATTATGCTAGATGGATTAGCTTGTAGTTCATGAACTGCATCAGCAAAATTTTGGTTTGACTCGCCCTTGATCTCCACCATTTGTCACGTGGAAAGGTATTTTACAAAAAGAATAAATACACCTAGCCAATTAGTCGGCCACATATGATAGTAAAAGAGTGTATTATTGCTCCATAACCAAGTCCAACATCAAGTTAATGACTTATGTTTTTGGCAAACTTTGGTCTAAGTTAATAGGTTAGTCCTAAAAATAATATAAAATAGCATATTAATGCATATAAAACATCCAAAACAGATAATATAATAACATGGAACAATCAAAAATTATAGATACGTTGGAGAAGTATCAATAAACGCTTCGGCTTAGCAATCTTCAAGGATATGAAGAAGCTCTCCCCCTCTCGTAGCTATGCATTGTTGGGGACGTAGCAGAAATTCAAAATTTTCCTACGTGTCACCAAGATCTATCTATGGAGAAACTAGCAACGAGGGGAAGGAGAGTGCATCTACATACCCTTGTAGATCGCTAAGCGGAAGCGTTCAAGTGAACGGGGTTGATGGAGTCGTACTCGTCGTGATTCAAATCACCGATGACCAAGTGCCGAACGCACGGCACCTCCGCGTTCAACACACGTACAGCCCGGTGACGTCTCCCAAGCCTTGATCCAGCAAGGAGAGAGGGAGAGGTTGAGGAAGACTCCATCCAGCAGCAGCACAACGGCGTGGTGGTGATGGAGGAGCGTGGCAATCCTGCAGGGCTTCGCCAAGCACCGCAGAAGAGGAGAAGAACTTGGGAGAGAGGGAGGGGCTGCTCCAAAGGCAAAAGGTGTGTTTGAGAGGCCCTCCTACCCCACTATATATAGGGATCCCAAGGGAGGGGGGGGTGCGCCAGCCCCTAGGA